GGGAATGAAAAAAAATAAACAACATGTAACCCTCCCCCTCACAAACTCTTGCCTTACAGCCCTTTAGCTCCTCCACGGGTAACAGGCCTCCTCATGGTGAACCTGGTCATGGAATGAGGCAGTCCAGGGCATGAGAAGGGACAAGGAAGCTCTGATATCTCCTGGGTGGGCAATGTTCAGTGGGCATTATACTCAGCCGGCTATAGTGCTACTAAGGTGGGCAGTATTCAATGCAAATGAAAAGATAAGGATAAAACTGTACAGAATAAATACTGTCTGGTTTGCAGAGGAACACATTTGCAGGTAACTCCGATATTTATGCCACATTCTTCCTGCTTTCGCCTTTTGGTTTTCATTGTTCTGCTTTTTGGAGTCAATTCATTCTACTTCATGAAAAGAATCAAAATATTTTCTTCTTTATTTTCTTGTTTTCTTTTTTTTTTTTTAAATATTTTTAAAAAGCAGCTCTTTTGTTTATGTCATGTATAAAATCTTCACCATCATTAAGTAAGACATCACCTGGTGTTATGCCCACAGGGGCAAATACAAGCTTTGTAAATCGAAAAGTACATCAGTGTCTTATTTGCTTTATAGTAGACTACACATTTGAAGTCAAAAGGTAGTTGTGTAGCCCTGTTTTGTTCCAAAACTGCCATTCTGCTGTCATTTATTTTAGTCTGTGGCAAAATAAAATAAAGATGATTGAAAATCCTAAAGCTCAAACCTGAGGACGGACAGCAAGAAATCAGCACAGACTGTATTCTTTCTTGCACTTATTTTAGGGGCAGAAAGAGACCCTGCTGCAGAAAATGCCTTTGACATAGATGTTTGAATGATCTGCTACATACACAATAAAGAATAACATTTTATAAGCTTTTTATGGGGTATTAAAAATCCAAAGTAGCCAAGTTTTCTAATGGAAAAAGCAAACTACTTCAGGGGTTGAGCAGAGGCACCATCTGCACTGGAGCGACCCCAGACTAATTGACTGTGAGTGTCCTTGTCTGTGTGTGTGTGTGTATACACGTGTGTGTGTGTGTTTCAGGGAGACATTCTTTGCTTCAGTTCCATTATAATTCCTTTAAATATTTATTACTGGAATGTAAATTCTGCGGAAAACTGAAGTCTTTGCTTTGGAAAAAACAGACCATCACCTACCACGGGTGTTGTCGCTCAGTGAAATAGCCAAGTCCCTTTTGGAGAAACAAAAGGATTCGGTTATATAAACAAGTCAGTGCATTGAATTATAAGAGTGGGGGGAAAAAAGGAACAAAAACCTGCTGACTTCTGGTTGAACTACTCCTTGGCTATGTGTGAGCTGAAGTTCTGCAGATCTAGCAAGAAGTAGGAGCAATATTAAAATGAATTGGTTACAAATAGTGGAAATAGTCCAGCAAGCACATTTACAATGTGCAGCCCTAAGTATGGCTTTGTTTTCAGATTGGTTTGTCTTTATTTTGAATGTAAAACATTAATAAGCTTCTTAAGGAGATTGGGGATGGGAGAAAACATTGGCTGATCACCTTAAAGCCCAGGAAAATAAAAAAGTTCTCAGGTTGCTGGATGAAATAACAAACTAGAGTGGGTTTATACTTCTTACATTGCTATGAAAGCTTTACTTCTTGATCATTTCCAGACACCAGAAAGTTATTAAAATCCACAAAGGGAAAAGAAATTCTACATTTATATGAGCTTTAAAACTTATTTTGGGACTTCAGCTTGTTACCAGTGTAACGGAGAGTAAACCTGTAATGTGAAAAAGCTAGTCAAAAAGACTAACCAAGGACCAGTCTAGCATTACAAACACTTGGGAAGGGATTTATCAAATAATATCTGAGGTTACACTTTATTCTGGAGGGTCAAAACTGGAACAGATTGGTGTGGATAGTAACAGCTCTTAGGCTCAGATATTTGTATCACTTTAAACCTTACTGTCATTTCAAGGATATAAATAGGCTTGGAAAAATCAGATTATTGGAAGGATTAAATTGGAATCAGTGTCAGTAATAATCTATTCCTTTGTGGTGACACCAATTGAAAGAGGGAAAGTTTGGGGGAGGGGAGTAATGCTACACTGCCTATGGGTTGTGTGGGAATGGGGAATACAAATGAGGGGAAGGAGGGTTAAACAGCACAGCTCTCATGTGACTGGTAGGCAGGGTAAGCATAAGGACAGAGAAATCCTCCTTAGAAACAGCACTGGCCAAAAACCCTGTCTCACCAAAAGCTAGTTACAATGATGGAGTGCCAAAATACACCACTCATTCTAGTTTATCAAATTAATAAAATCTGTCTGTGTTCTGTGCTTCCCCACTTCCAGCCCCACAACCCAGCATGCTCAAAGACCCACAAAATCACGGAGGAGTTTTTACCTTATTTCCTTTTTCTTTTTTTTTTTTTTTTTTTAAATCACATTGCCTGAATGTTTTCCCTACAGTGTCACTCCTGTTATCTCCTAGCTGGGTTGGAGAAAACAGGTAGCACATACCTGACATTCCCATCTCTGGGGACTCTGGAGTATGCCAGGCAGAGGAACACAGCGTGGTGTCCAAGCACCAGCCCCTCCATCTCAGTTCATGCCACAGCCAGCCCTCACTCAGCCATCCACAACTGCAATCCATGCAGGTGTTCCTAGATAAGAGCTAAGCAAGAAGCAGCTGGTCCAGGCTCTTTAACATTGCCCTGAATATATTTCTACAGGTACAATCAAATTTATTCCTTTCTTTTAGATTCAGAATGATTTTGATAGTGGTGACTTTAATTTGTTGACAAATTGCCTGCTGAATTTTCTTTCATCCTGAAACACGAGAGACCAGAGTACAGAAGGTACCTTGTGTTGTTGAGCGAACAAAGCGTATTTAGACTTGTTTTCCACCTAGCCTTTTGGAACAAAGTTAAAGATTAGGTTTTCAGTCAGGAGCTCTGTAAGTGAGATTCTGCTTCCCTGGTAAGCCATTTTCTACTTAGTGCTTTCCCCAGTTTCACCCACCACCAGCTTGTTTAACGGGGTAGGACATCCCTCTAGGAAGGGACTAAGAACCATCATCTCTATCTGAGTCCAAGGGAGATTTTTCATTGGCAGCTGCTGGTTTTCTGAATGTGCCATAAGACCTACCCTTTTTGTCAGTTTTTCCTTAATGAGAAGAATGACGAGACAGCAATATGTGCTTGCAGCCTGGAAAACCAACTGTATGCTGGGCTGCATCAAAAGCAGTGTGGCTAGCAGGTCAAAGGAGGTGATTCTGCCCATCTTCTCTGCTCTGGTGAGACCCCACCTGGAAGACTACATCCAGCCCTGGGTTCCCCAACACAGGAAGGATATCAGCCTGTTGGAGCAGGTTCAGAGAAGGGCCGGGAAGACAATTAGAGGGCTAGAGCACCTCACTTGTGAGGAAAAGCTGAGAGAATTGGGGTTGTTTAACTGGAGAAGAGAAGGTCCCTGGGAGACCTTATAGTGGCCTTCAAGTACCTGATGGGAGCTTACAAGAATGATGGGGACAGACTTTTAGTAGGGACAGCAGCAACAGGACAAGGGGCAATGGTTTTAAACTAAAGGAGTGTAGATTCAGGCTTTGATATACACTGGAAACTTTTTACAATGAAGGTGGTGAAACACTGGCACAGGTTGCCCAGGGAGGTGATGAAGGCCCCATCCATGAAAACATTCAAGGTCAGGTTGGATAAAGCTCTGAGTGATCTGATCCAGATGAAGATATCCCTGTCTGTGGCAGGGTGGTTGAATTAGATAACTTTTAAAGGTCCCTTTCAATGCAAACCCTTCCATGATTCTATGGGAAAGAAGGGTCTCTCACTGGATAGGAGTCTTTCATCCTTCCACTGACCAGCTGAGTGGATGATGCTGGGAGACTGATGGTAGTGCAACTCAGGGCTTTGAGCATGTTTCAGTAAACACACCTGACTATAAGCAAGGTAGTGGGCAGAAAAAAGGAATGCAATGTTTCTTGGAATAAATAACACTTCTAATAACTACCTCACTTATACTGCCCAGTGACAGGAGCAAAAATGACAGGGTAAGCAATTCCCAGCACTGTCCTCAGGTGCTTTCCCAGAAGTTTACTTTCTCTCTGTACTGAACGAATTACTTGGTTTTTTTTTACTGTTGAAGAAGCAAAGGTTGATATTTGGATTTGTGCATTCATAGCTTTGTCTCTTCAGGGGCTGCCTCACAAAAGCTTCTGGTTCTTTTCAGATTTCCCACTGGAATTTTTTTTTCCTAAATACATATTTAAATTTCTCCCTCTATTTCTTTAAATGCAAAATGCAAGCCTCTGCATCTACAAAAAAGCTCAAGCGCTTTTCTTTTCTTTTTGTCTTTCAGCTCTGCTTCTGCTTTCCATTTTTGCTTCTGCTCAGTTAATTACACCCTTATAATTATTTCCCTCTTTATTTACGTAGGCATGTATTTTCCCTGGGAAGCTGCTGCCTGATCCTTGGGACTCAGTGTAACCTGACTCCAGCCCTGCTTGTTCTCTGCAAACCTACTGGCGTCATGGAGCAGCCCTCAGCAATCAAGGGCTCCTTGGCTTGCTGGTCACTGGCTGCTGGATGCCCACTCCCTGTTTGCCTGGTGTACCACAGCGTCTGGCAATGAGCTGTCACCCTGACAGAGCCTGGCCTCAGGTGGGCTGTGAGGCCAGAAACCTGCATGGGGGCAAAGCAAGGGGGACATGAGCAACTTGGGAGGGTGAGGAAGGTGAGGGCATCCCAGCATTGCAGGTTCCATCCCTTCATCTCCCTCGACCACTGCTCTTCTGCTGGGGAAACCAAGCTGGCAGGAACGGCAGTCTGTGCTTCAAAGGGCTCCTGCCAAGCACGTCACTGTTATTTGTGTAATAGTCTGAAAGTCTTGAGTGAGCAGTGATACATAAAGGAAAAGTCCTAGTGTAATTAGTGATCCTTACACCTTTTCATTCCTGAAAATTTGAGGGTAAGGAAATAGCTGTAAGGGTAAGCAGGAGATAAATGTTGGTTCATGGCACCTTCTTTATTCAAGCATTTTCAGTTTGTCCCAGGATTGCTGTCCCATAGGCAGGACTTAGCTTTCTTCTTTGTCTCTAAAACAGCAGTGCCATTCCTTTCTTCTTCATCTCTAAATCACTTGCAGCTTTCTCCTCGGACGTCAATTAGAACCATCAGAACTGATCAAAAAGAGGAAGAAAAAGTTTTACGCAGATGCTTCATTTCAGTTTTCCTCCTAATTTTTTGTTTTAAATTTCACATGTTTTAAAAACTTCTTTCAAATACTTCTTTGGTTGTGAAAAAATTTCCCTTTAGTCTCCCATAGTCAAGTAATAATAGAAACAAAATATGTCCCCTTCAATATCCACATTAAAGAAGTTTACGCCTGTCCCACTTAAGAATTAGCTGCTATTGTGACCTGCATTTTTTTCATCTCAAATCAACTTTCTTGTGGGATCATAATAATTTCTCTGTAGTGGTAGAAATGGAGTTCCAGGCATTTGCTTTTCTCAGAATCAGGCTGAGACTGTATCTCTGGCCACAGCAGTGGTCAAGTTGGTCAAAGGATCTAGTTTGTCTGAGAAGCAAACTTCCTCTTTAGCACCAGTAGCCAGAAGAAATTCTTCACATTAACACTAGCAAGGCTCCACAGGCTCTCGGCTTCTCAGCAGGTCCTGGTCCAAACAGTTCAAAGCTTTCCACACTCTCTGACTGGTACACCTTCTGTGACTGTGCACAGGCTGGGAAGCAGCACCTCAATTGATTTCAGCTCTCCCAGTGGCCACACTTTGCTGGATTTTAGAAGACATCCTATGGAAAGCGATTCAGCAGCAGCTGGTGTGCAGCTTCCAGGCAAAGCAGACCCAGGCTCTGTGGGCTCTGCTCCCAGTGCTGCTGGTCACAGTGCCGGGGCCTTGGGTCACCTGCCAGCATGAGGGACAGAAGCTCCGAGATGGAGCCATGGGCCACTCTCAAGCTCACTCACTCACAAGCCAGGGCTGCTTCACAGCAAAGCACATAACTCACTGTTTTTCAGATGCCTCGCAAGTATGAAAAGGAGTGTGATGGAGAGGACAAAGTATTCAAGTCAAAGGGGCCAAGCACTAGGGTGGGAAGAGCAGAATCCACGCTCAATAACATTTATGCTTATCTCAGTATTGTACGTGACACTTAGTTCCTGTAGCAATTGGAACCTCATAAATACCAATGACAGATAGTAATTAGCACCCCATACATACCATTAACAGATGATCTTGCCACTAGGAAGCAAAAACAAGCTTTTCATATCCAACTGGCCAAGCAAGCTTGAAAGTGAAAATAACAACAAGATGTAAAAAACACTATTTGAAAACAAAGATCTTCCTTTGGACTCAATATTTTGATGGAAAAAAAGCCTAAACCAGCAGCCTTACACTAGCCTTTGGCTCCAAAATGCCCCAGGTCAACTTATATCTGGCTGATAAAAGGGTAGTTGTTTGATTCATTATAGCCAAAGGCTCAGCTCGTAGGAATGGATGTTGCTCAATTTTTTTCTGGGATCTCTTTGATCTCTGCTGGAGGTTGAGGAGCAGATTCCACATTATGAAGTATTTTTGGAATGATATTGAGACCATTTCACAGAAAAGTCACCTTCAAGTCTCCAAGATTCTCTCTAGAGACACAGGGATGGTGGAAAACTTCTATCATAACATTTTTATCTGAAAGAAGAGGAATATAGAAGATCCTAAAAGAATGGTAATCCATTCATCTTTGGACCAACATTAAGATCTGGATGTAGAACTTCAAGTTTTCTACACACTAAATTAAAAACACAAGTTTCTATGAGGGTATGTGGAAGCAATAAAAGATTTACAGTTCTCTGTAGACCAGCTAGAGGAGACAGGCATCCTATACATGGCACATGGGAGAAACTCACCTTTTAATTCAGAGTCTTAAATTCCACAGCAGCATTTATTCCAGGTTAACCAAAGGCAACAGAGGTATGGCATCTGCTCCCTACCATTCGCCCTCTTCACAGAACCCTCCCTGTCTCCCCATGTACCTTAGGGCCCAGAGGGTCTTCCACCTTGTCCTGTCTGCCAGATTTTGGTCATATTTGCTAGGCTCCCACAGCCAGAGCAGTGGCTGAGAGTGTGATAGAATCTGGGGGTCTTCTCATCACAGATGGTGGTCAGCAGGTGAACTCGCAGTTCAGTGTCTGGTAAGTGCTCTGGTAAAGCAAGTCACAGAACAAGGAAACCTCCTTCAGTGTAACTCTAGTAACCTCCTCCATAATAATATAGAAATGTGTAAGGCTTCACATTCACTGACTGCTTTTACCAGATCATTACAAAATATTAAATAGCATATTTAGCAAAACAAGAGCTTTCAGTTTTTCTCTTCGGCATGCAATTGTCAAGGGCAGAGCTGCACATTGAGTTTGTATCTATGCTGAAACCTCCACTGACTTCATCAGAATAAAATGAATGAAGTGTAGTCATTATAATCTGCTTTGCAGTGACACAAATGTGTAAAAGCCATGTTCATATGACAGGACTGTCCAGATTTTGCATCCAAGCCTTTGACAAGAATAGCCAGGTTTTGGAGGGGGAGAAGAGGGAAGGAGGGCAGAAGGGAAGATCATAAAAATTGCTCAGCTGATATTGCTAAAATGCTTGGAAACAACCGCTAAGTCTTTCACTGTCTCCACCCTTCCCAGAAGTCTCATTATGGTAAATAGTGTTGCACTTATTTGAAAACTCAGGTTTCATAAGGCTGGCTGTGCCGGGGGAGCCGGCAGTGCAAGCAGCACTGAAGATCTCTGCTCCTAAATGCTGAAACCTGGCGCTCATGCCCCTTTGGTTCCTAGGAGCATCTCTGTTTGCTTTCAGAAAGCAGCTCGAAATTCTACCTTAAAATTAAAGCATATCGTGACAGATAGTCTAATCACAATGTCTAAATATAATACAAGGGAAGACAATTTAAGAGAGCTCAGCTACACTTTTTTAAGCAACTGTCGGGAAACTGCCTCTGTGGCTTGCTGCTTTAGAGTAAGATTAAATGAATCAGTCTCACCATTTGAATGCGTGGGAAGTCAGAGACAGCAAAGTGACAACTAAGGATGGTTTATTTATAATTGGGCCCTCCTTCTATAGCTGTTTGTGCACAAGTCCTGTGCACTAAGTACAAAAGTACCTGCCCTTTATGTAAAATTACTCACAAATGGTATGTGTAGGTCAGTAGATGCCTACGCTGGTTTGGCTGATTACAAAGTTCATGTAATTATTATTGAACTGTCTAGTGATGTTTAGAAAAAGAATACAGCTTATTATGCAGCAGCTTCAAAAGGCTCTGACTCCATGGTCCTTCAGCAGGGAGTCTTTCACAATAAGGAAGAGCCTGAGCTGGGCATAACTGCCAGAAGTCTGGAGGAATGAGGTAGGGACTGGGGCACCCTCTTGTGCAGCAGCTTTGCAGCCAAGGCAGGTCTGTGAGGGCTGGAGCGCAACGCAGAGGCAGCATTGTTGTATGTTTTACTAGTGGGGACCTTTGATGCTTAAGCTGCAGTTCCCCATGCCTTGAGATAAAACACCTCTGAGTTTAACACAGAGGTTTCCAAAACAAGACCTGCCAAAGAAGGCAGGAGTGCTGTCGCTGCAGATGCAATCACAAGCCTGGGAGAAATTCAGTAGTTTAAGGTACTGTTTGATTAACGAGTCCAAATGGAGCAGCGTTGCAATGAGAAATAGGTTTGTCAAAGGAAAAATGTGGGTTTCTCATCTCCACCACCTCAGGATGTGGCCCTAACCTTTTTAAAGTGTCATTCTGAGTAAGGAAAGGCAATATCCACAAATCTGAAATAAAGTTGGAGAGAAGGACCTGGGCATGGCTGAGTCCCTTGGAAGAAGAGCAACACTGTTCTTTGCCCAGCCTCCAGGTGGGTAAGTCAATGGAGTGAAGCTGACCTCAAGCTTTTATTCCTCTCCACTTTGGCAGGCTTGGTCTTTAGTCTATAGCACCAGCCTGCCCCCCTAACTGGGGAATATTATTAAAATGACATTAAATATTAAGAGAGACAACACAGCATCTCTCGCAGTAAGGGAGCTCCTGACACAGCAATCTTTTCCTAATAAACTGCCTTGACAAACAGTTTACTTATGTTCTTATTTCAATTAGATGAACTACTCTGCAGTGGTAAGGGTGAGTGTGGCTGGGTGTTATTTTGAGAAGTAGTAAATATTTATTCGACTTTCTCAGCATGGAAGTGGGTGGGTAGCAGGGTCCCAAGACAAGACCTGCTCATCACAATTGTTAAAGCCACAGTCACAGGCTGCGGCTAACCAACAAGGAACAATGTTCTTGTGTGAACCCATCACCAACAGCTTAGCTATTACTATTGGTACAGCATTAACAGTGATGGACATCATGGTCAGGTTTGGCTCTTGTAGAGATCTGGGCTGGAGAAGGAGATAATGTCCATTAAGTAGTCAAATAAGTGCAAATACTGGAGGTGTTTCCCATCCCGCCAAGCTCAGTGCTGTGCTGTGGCAGGCACTGAGTGTACCAAATATACTCCTTGGCTCACAATGCCTAAACACACCAAGTCCCCAGACAGATCTGTGGTCAAGTAATGGGCTCAGATCTCCAGGCTTCCAGCTGAGTGAGGGAGTGGTGCAAAGGCAGGAGTCTTGCTGGAAGGTACTGGGAAATTTAATCTAAGCAAAGAAAATCTTCATCTCTGCTTTCTTGGAAACTTTGCCTGCAATTTCAAATATTTTCTGTTGACAGCATGAAAGTCATGGAAGTAAACACGTATGCTTGTCTTTGAAACACTGCTGGTCTGCTGGACATTTTGGGAGGGGAGATAAAAATGTTTAACTTAGGAAAAGTAGTTGCTTTTCAGAAAATCCCTCAAGGCTCTACACAGCGCATGGGTTGGAAGCCACGAGGTTTCTGTCAGCACATCTGGACTTATCCCTGAAGTATAGTATAGAAGATCAGCTTAGGCTAAGTGCCACAGAAAGTTTTACTACTTTAAAGTCACTGAGTTTGTTTTACAAGGCCTGACCAAAATTTTACCTCAGTCTGTATAATTTTTTTTCCCATTTAATAAAACACCTTTATTTGAAAAGGCTGTTTCAGAGGCTGAAGAATAGACGGAAATCTCTTACCTTGCTGCTGAAGCCATATCTGAGATGAAACATAGTTGTTCTTTGCTGGTAATGCCGTGCAATGGGATTTTTTTAAGGAGGAGAGTGGAGAATGGAATAAATAAAGCTGAGTGGTGAGGCAGGATACGTAAGTGGACCAGGCAGGTATTGCCCAGTAGGAATTTGGCTTGTAAATCATCTGGTTAATAACTCCATAGAGTCTATAATGATAGTTGATGCCTCTTCAAAAAGTCAACACATTCTGCAGAACCTCAGTTCTGCATCCCTCATACATTCCTCTACAGTACTTTATACAGTGCTGTAATCACAATCTGCCTCATATGTAGCTTTGTCTTTTAATGCGTGCTGCCCTTTTAATCTGAAGTAGTTTCTTTGACTGGTGTTCAGGAACATGGTCATTACATATAAAATTTCAGATCCAGAAGCAGAGAGTTCAGACTTCAAGATAATTCCTCATGTGCACATCTGCATCCATACAGAAATTATTTGGAGTCTGAAGAATGTGACTTAAAAGTCTGGGCCAAACTTTCCTTCTGAGTAGCTGTATTTAGAGAAGCATGTGCGTCCGGGGCATCATAGCATCCAGTACCAGTAGAACCACAAAGGCTCATAGGAATTGAGGGCCTGACCATAGGGCCCTGCTGATGCCACTGGCAACCAAAAAAGTTGAGTTGATGTTGGTGGAGACTGTCCCTCCCTTGGCAATAGCATTTTAAGGAAGGTAGAGTGTGTGAGTTGGAGTTTAGAGGATGCACTGGTGGTTTCACCGAAGGAAGCTGAGGAATTGCAAAGTGAAAACAGGGCAAAATTTAGAGATAATTTGAAAAATTTCCTCTTTAAAAACTGGAAAAAATGTTGGGGGGAAAAGAATCATGGAAATACCTTTGTTACACCCTGGATTGTTTTCAGGGGGATATGAGGACTACATTTAATCTTTGTTGTGTAGAATGGGAAAAGTTTTTTCCTTGCTCTAATTGTGTCTCTTAATACAGCCTTTACCAGTGGAATAATTAACAAAGCCTGCATCACAAATGTGGTGCTTTCAGGAGCTAGGTACTGTTGTGCCCTTTCCCACTGCACCAGAGCTAGGAGGCTTTCTACTGAGCTCTGGGAAGCAGGAGTCTCCCAGGAATTTCTGAGCACAGAAAGTGTACAGATGGGTGCTATTGGCGATTTTCACCATAAGGATTTTTTTCAGGGAGTTTTTCCTCCTTCCAGCCAAGGACAAACCTCTGACACTAGCTCACATTATTGTTTGAAGACAGATTGAAATCTTGTGATTCTGACATCGTTTTATTTTTAATTTCCACACTGAAAATGTCAGGGGAAAAAATACCCTAAAAATTATACTTCAGAAAAGACTATAATTACTTCCAATTAAATCATGGCCCTGGTTGTTTGAAAGACAACCACAGCTAGAATTTCATTATCTGATAAGCACTATTTAAAATATATTTCAAAGTTTCTTTTATTAATAATAATAAGAAAAGGATCCAAGACCCTGCAACAATACCTGAGCCAACTGCAAAAGCTCAATGATGGGAAATTGTTTTTAACCCCTCAAACAGAGAGGCCACATCATTTTTAGGGCATTTATTTCAGTGATACTCCTGATGGGGAAGAAAGTTCAGAAATATGATCATATGTGGTGGTAGGCCTGGATGAGGTGACCCAGATCTCTGCCTTCCCCCGGGCACTAATCAGGCTGTGTGCTTTCATCGCACCTTTCTGCCATCCGTGGTACCTGAAGCATTTCACAACATCTGTCCATTGCCACACTCCTGTCTGTTTCAGGGTACATCTGCTGAAGCCACTGAGGCTTTATCAGCATCATCTGGTTTCATAGTGGGAATTAAGCCTTATCCCTCTGTACGTCTACACCATAAATCCATTTGTTACCACCTGAAAGAGGCATTTACATCACAAGAACTGCACTGAGGAAGCCACTGGTGTTCAGACTCAGTAAAAATATCTGAGTTCTTATAGAGTCCCACACGATGGTGCATGGGATAATTTTATTGGAGGCTTTTGTGGTCTTATTTTGAACTTCAGCTACGGCTGAGCCATCAGTCCTCAACCCCACTCAAGTATGCAGCATATTTTTGCTGTTTTCTGATGTGCTCAGGAGTCTGTCTGTATCATTTGCTATGCTGAAAAGGGATGCAGGGGTTCGAGGGTAGGGGCTTCCACAAAACACCTGCCTGCAAAAAGGCTTGTGTGTAAAGGGACGGGTGATACTGAAGGGAGAAGAGTCTAGTAACAGAGTAGCAGCAGGGTGTAAAGTCGGTTAAAACTATAGCCCCTTTCCCTTAGCATCCCAGACAGCCATTACTCCAAGTGTTTCAGTTCATAGGACTCAAAATCCCTGTTACAAGGGAAAGGATTTTCTCCAGGCGAGAAAATCTCTGCAGAAGCAGCCTATAATGAGTGTTTGCTAATGAAGATCCTTGAGAGTCACTTCCAACTCAGAACATTCTGTGATACTGTGATTAGCAGCGATGTGAGGCTCAGAATGGACATACCATAGCAAGCTGCCTAGGCATCCACAACTTGCACACAGGACAGACACTCCTGCTATCCATGGAAAAATCCTCCCCCAAATATTCCACATCATAGTGGCTAGTCTCTGAGCTGGTCTTATTAAGTGGAAAGAAATTAAAAATTGCAATTGACTCACCAGTAAAAATATGTGAGTGTACCCAGCAAATAAAGTAGATTCCCTGAGCACTTACCTAATAATTTTACTTTTAATTAAACTGTCCATTCCCTCACTGATTTACATTTAAAAAGAAAACATCTGTGTGTATTTCACTGGGAAACCTTCCCCTGGTGTTTTAAGAAAATATTTTCCTTTGATTAATGCGAAAGATTTGGGGCCTGATCCTTGCTAACAACACGCTGCCTTCCAGCTCCACCATGAAGGCAAACAGGTATAAAAGGTTGTCACTGAAGGGGATGTCCTCACCCTGTGTGATTACAGCCTTTCTCCCCTGTTTTTTTCTTTGGTTTTTTTTTTTGGTTTGTTATGTTGCTATTGTTTTCTTAATGTACCTTACAGCCTTTTATTAATACATTCTTAGGCTCAATCTTTTCAAAGAAACAAATGCAGTGGACAGACAATGAACTGAGAAAGCTGGGAGCCACAAACCCCCTCAGCTTTCTTTGGGGTGAAGAGCAAGACATTGCATCTTGGCAGCAGGCACCTCTGGCAATGCCCCTGGCATGCTCTTGGCACAGCCAGGGCTTGGTGGAGGTACTAGAGAAGAGGAGGTGATGCCACCATGGTGTTTCTGGCTCTGAGAGACCAAAGGGCACCTTGTGTCCCTTCACACACACACCCTAAAATGGGAATGATGACCAACTATGTTTTAAAAGTCACCTGCCTTCCTTCTTACATTTTGACTTCCAAAATCTGTATTAGTTTCTAAGAGAAAGAAAGAGAAGCCCAAGCTCTCACATTTCCAGCAAGAAGCAGTAACCCCTTCTACTCCCACTGCAGTTAAGCATAGGCTGAGGTTGTTACCAGAAGTTCCTGAGACACCATTCAAACACCATGTGCCTTTCTGGAGAAGTGAGTTACATGCCAAGACCACCTAGATTTGTGTATGTGGAGCAGAAATGGAGCCTCCTTGAGTGCCAGCCCAGTGCTGTTAAAAGGCCACCTCTCTTTTCCGTGGCTTAGTGTCTGCTACCACCACCCCATAGCCATTGTGGACATAGGTGGGGATGCTGCTGCCTTGGTGGTACATGATACTCCATGACACAGCTGAGTGTGCTATGTACTTGCACTCAAACCGCAGCTGAGTTTATAGGAGACCCAAATATGCAAATGGAGAAATGAAAAATCTTAAGATGAGACATTAATATGTGCTTCTCCGGTGCTGGTTTGCCATCCTCTTCTGAGTGAAGAAGTCAAAGAGAAGAAGTAGTCTGTTGAGGTGGGAAAGTCTCTCAGGATTCAAAATTTTAGTGACATCTCCTGCAGTCTCAGGCCTGCAGAGGATGACGGGGTCCATTGGTACAAGGATCATGATCTCTCCAGCAGAACAGCCTTGTCCCAGGATTGTTGCAGCTGCACTGCCGACGACTGGCTCCTGACAGCTACATCCACACCATGGTTTTGTCTCTAGCTCAGGGACCTAGGGTGTAACATCCATGCACGGATGCTCAGTTTTGGAGAGAATGGAAAAGGAAGGTTGTAGGCTCAGAGCTGGGCTGTTTCCAGAGTGCATCCCCATCTGTACACAGAAATGGGGAAGTGCAGCAAGGGATTGTGCGCCCTGGATCCAACCATATGCCCTAAGTCCTCTTTGAAGGAGACTCTCAGGCAGAGGCCCCTGTGTGAGCTGGGAAGCAATGCTGTGCCCAGCAGGGCAAATCCCTGCTCCCTCTGCATGCCCACAAACCGCCAGCTTCCTCTATGCACCGGATTTTCACAGCCAGTCTGAGTTGAGGTCAGGACCTGTTGGGGCTGGTTTTTGTTTACCAAATATGCTGTGGCCTCGTTTGGCAACAACATTTAAAAACATATAAAATCAGAACAGTCCTTGTTGGTGAAAATATCCCTATTAGTTTTCCTATCTTTGGGTGCATTATCAGCAGATGAAAATCTGTAATGTCCTTGGTGATATTGAACCCAAGAGGCATTCAGGAATTGTCATCCTGGACCAGCCAGGTAGTCCATCAAGTTCATCACCTTTCCCCTAAAAGAGGCAGAATAACCTGTGCTTTGAAGCCAACAGCTTTAGCATTTGCCTAAGTATGTCACACGCAGGTTTGGCTGCTCCTGCATCCCCCTTTGTACTCCGCCCACCAGCCACAGGGCCAGGGACACCATTTTCATGTCCAGGCCACACACAGTGAGTTCTGCAGACTCCTCTGTCGACCCCTTCCTCTTTTCTTCTGGTAAAAGGGGTGAGGAGTGAGTTTGGTTTATGTTTTAAGTTCCTATGCCGTGCCAGCTTTGATGGGCATGGAGCTAATGCAGACCCCAAGGGCTATGGGATAGCTCAGAAACAGAGGGAAAAAAACTACCAGTGCAGTCTCACATAGCAGAGGCTGGTACCGCTGCCCCCATTCTGCAGCCGAGGAGAGCAAGGATGATGTGACTAACCTGGAGCCATGCTGCAGCACAAGGCAATTGCAAGAAGCGAAGTCAGCTCCTGTAGCAGCCTGCTCCTCTGGTTTTGTCCTCTGCTCTTCTCCAACACCTTTCCTCTGTGGCTCTGAGACAGGGTTCCATGGCTGCCACTCTGATCAAGGGCAAGGAGGCAGGCTGGGCTCAGAAGTGTTAGTAGCCTTGGAAAGCGGATCATGTTCTCCATCATAAAGAAGAGGGTGGCACAGAATTACAATGACCAGAAACATGTTTCAAGAAGATGTTAGGTTTTTGACTCATGGCTACAGCTGAACCCTGAGGGTTACCATGGCTCAATAAAAGAGGGGCGAGAAGCAAGTTCAAGTACTGTGCCCATCTCCATCCACACACTTGTCCTCCACCTCTAGCCTGGACTTCCACAGTGGCCCAGCTGGAGACAGCATCAATTTTTTTCCAAGATTTGACCGTGGCATCACAGGACCAAGATTTGGTCTCAGGATCACTCTCAAAATGAAGTAGGGATGAGACAGGAGCAGGTTTTGCTCCCTCTGCTGTACACAGTCTTCCAGTGCCATCCTAGCCTATTTGGAGCCCTATATCACCTCCACCAGTCCTGCATGGCACTCCTCGACACATTTAACACGTATCTTCAGCTTCATGCAGAAAACAGAATGCTAATAGGCCATGAGACAGCTCTCCTATAGTTTCAGGCATTTTTCAGTGGAGGGAGAAAAATCATGCAAAATACTGAAAATACCTTGTGAACAAGAGGGCCCACGAGAGCCTGGGAATCACATCCTCCACAGTGCAGACATGGCCATCCTGCTCCATCAGCTGGGTCAGCATGGGTTGCTCCCTGGCCTGCTTTTATCTGCCAGCATAGGTACCCGCAGCACCACGAGATGAGGGGCCATACTGGCAGGAGCACTTGGCTCTCACTGAAATCCGCAATTCAAAGTTAACTCTTGCCTCCTCCTTGATACATCAGTGGGAGTAGCCGGGTGTTGAGCCCTGCTGAAACAAATACTGCGGTGAGAGAGGTCTGAGCTGGCACCAGCAGCAGTGAGAGGCAGCGTTTTTGGGGACCAGGAGTAACTGCAGGCACAGAGAGAGTATGTCTTCACTGCTCCAGTCCCAGACTGCTCATCTGCAAGGAGCTTCAGGCAGACAGATCCAGACGGCAGTTAATGCAGGATCACAGCCCGAGGTTTTGTTTCCACCTTTGCCAGAGGCTTTGCATGAGTCTCAGCTTCCTTTGCCCGCGTAATGGGTACCTGATGACTGACCTTCCTTTGTAAAGCTCCTGTCAGGCAATGGGGGCTCCCGTAGCTTCTCCTACTGCTCTCCTGTATGCTCCGACAAAAATGATGTTGGTCGGGCTGGTTGAGCACGAGCTCAACCGGAGAGATGGATCATTTAAAATAAAAAAAAAAAAAAAAAAAAGGGGGGGGGGAAGGGAGGGGGAGAATAGACTGTCAATCTTAGTTAGTAAACACTTCTTTGATGTGGTTCCTTTTTTTTTTTTAAAAAAAAAAGCAAACAAATCAACACCAAAACCACAACCTGAATCCTAAAAGAAACAACGTATGTTTATTTTAAATGCATCCGCTAAATATTTATACTGCGAGTAAGCTAAACGAGAAAAAAAAAAAAAAAAAAAAGATAAATTGGAACTTTTGTCAGTGAACCAGATTGTGAAATGCCTTGAGGGAATAGAAGATTTATTTGGGGAGAGGGGGAGAGGTAGGAATTTTCCATGCTATTGTAAAACATGAGCTCAAATTATATGATCCCCACAGCCAGTGAGTTGCAAAGCTTCAATCAGCTGCCTTTTTATTTTTTTCCCTTCCTCTCTTTTCTATAAAGAGGAGGGGGGGGAAAGACAGAAGTGTTTCACCAACTTCTGTTGACTGTTCCTTTTTTCTCCTGATTGAAATGTGTTGTTAAACAAGATCCCACATAATCTCAGCAGAGGGTTTCTCTCGCTCGCTCCCGCTCCTTCTGGGAAGCCGCGATCGGTGCCATCGGCGCTTGATTATTTGCAAACTCCCTTCGCTGTTTTTTTTTTTTTTTTTTCCTCCTTTTTTTTTTCCTCCTCTCCGTCTCGGTCTCCGTCTCCCTCTCTCTCCCTCCGTCTCTCTCTCCCTTTCTCTCACCCCCAGTGCAACTTTTGCAGGCGCCCCGGCACACGCAGCCATGCCGCGCTGAGAGCGGGGGCACCGCGCCAGCCCCCCTCCTTCCCTCCCTCCCTCTCCTTTCCTCCCTCCCTCTCTCCTTCCCTCCCTCCCTCTCTCCCTCCCTCCCTCCCCAGCGCCGCCGTCCCGAGCCGGGGGCCCTGCCGCCCGCCGCCCCTGCCCGGCCCCGCGCCTCGCCCCGGCCCCGGCCCGGCCCGGCCCGGCCCGGCGCCGCCGCCCCCGCCCGCTCGCCCGCCCGCCCCGGCCGCGTCGGAGGGCCGGCAGCGGGGCTGGATGTGCCCGGCTCCCCCCGCGCTGAGGTGGGCAGCGATGCAGAAGGCAGGCGGCAGCTTCGCCTCCGCCGAGAGACACCCGCTCAAGATGGCAGATGTGTGTTGAGTTTGGGGGGCTGCGATCTCGCGTCGTTCGTGGCGGCGTTGCCATGAATAACAGGCGTCCTTGCACCGATGGCCCCCATGTACGAAGGTAAGCCCCGGCCCGGCGCGCCCCGCCGGCACCTCTCGCCCGGTGGTGGAAGGGGAGGGAGGGGGGGAGCAGGGGGTCCCCGGCCGCCCGCCCGCGGTTCCCCGTGCCCCCGGAGATGTTGAGGGGAGGCGGCGGGGCACCCCCGCCCTTCCCGGTGCCCGGCGGGAGCGGGGCGAGGCGCGGGTCGCCCCCCGGCTCTGCCCGCCCCCGGCCCCGCGGTCCCGGGCGCTCGGTCCCCGGCGGGGGGCGGTGGGTGAAGTCCGTGCCGGTGCCGAGCAGAACAATGAGGTGGACAGAGCTTGCCCTGCGCCTCCGTGTGTGTGTGTGCCTGCTGCCTGTCTGCCCCTAGCCGCAGTTCGCATTTCCAGGACCGGCAACCCCGCTCCGTTCACCGGTTTCCCAGGAGTTCCCCACGCCGGGGCTCCGCTTCTCCGGGGCGCGGGGACCCCGCGGGCAGCGGCGGCGGGCGACGGAGCTGCCGGCAGCCGCCTGTCAGCTCCCCCGGCTTCTCCTTCAGCCCAGCCCGGGCTGCGGAGAGAAGCCCAAGTGCCCCAACTTAGTTTTTTCCGTGTTAAAAAAAAATAATATATATATATACACACATATGTATATATGTATATGGATGTGAGTGTTAGATCAGTGCGTAGTTCAGGGTGTCTGTTTAAAAAGAAAATATTCAAAGATGTATCGGGGTTTAATTTAAATCCCATCGCGACGCATTTATCCTCCGCCGTCACCCCTCCCGGCTCGGTGCTGCCCGGGGAGCGTTACATAAACCGGAGGGACATCCTCCGGCGGCCGCTCCATCCCGCCCGGGACCGCTCGGTCCGTGGCGGCGGAGACCCGGGAGCGGAGAGGAGCGGGGCGGGGGGGGCGGCACGGGGACACGGTACTTTCGTCCCCGTGGCGAGGCCGGTAAAACTTATCTGAGGAGGAAATCGAGCCTCGGGCTGCGGCGCCCGCTCGGAGGGCGCTCGGCGGGCGGTGTAAAGTTACCGGCGGCCCACCGGGTTATTTCTGGGCAGCCCCGAGCTCACCCGCGGCGCGGAGTTCGGACCCCGCCGGAGGCGGGCAGACAAAGAGGAGCGTTTTCTGCAGCGAAGGGAGGGCAGCCGGCCCTGCCCAGGCTCGCCGCTGCCGGGCACGAGGCCGGCGGAGCGTGGGGCCGGCGGGGGAGCGGAGGGGCCGCGGCGGGGCCGGGCCGGTGCCGGCGCCGGCGGAGGGGCCGCGGCGGGCCCGGGGTGCCGGTCGGGGCCGGCCCGTCGGCGGCGCCCTCTGGCGGCCGCGTCGCGCCGCCGAGCGGCCCTGGCCCGGGCAGCCCCCTCCCTGCTCTCCCTCCCTCCCGGGCCGCCCCCGGAGCCTCCCCCGGCACCGGGGCCCCGCCGCGGGCGGGGGGAACCCGCTCGCTGCCGCTGCCCCGCCGCTCGGGGCTCGCAGCCCCGGCGCGTACCTGCCTGGTCCCCTCCCAGCGGCCCCACGGGGCCGGCCCTGACCCCCCCGCTCCCGGTGCGGCCCCGGGCCGGCGAGGCCTGCCCGGCACCGCGCCGCCCGCCGCGGAGCCCGCCCAGCCCCTCCCGGGCGGGCGCCGCCGGCCGGGTGGGTAATGCGGCGATCGCCCTGAAGTTCGCTGCTCGCCGGGCCGCATCCGGCGGGCGGTGCGGGGCGATGCGGTGCCCCGGGGCGGGTGCGGTGCCCCGCGGCGGGTCCGCAGCGGCCGGGGGCGGCGGGAGGCGCGGGGCCTGCAGTCAGCCCGGCCGCGCTCCCCCCTTCCCGGCGCGCCGCAGCGGGCGAGCGCCGGCACGGCCGCCTCCCTGGAGCCGGGCAGGGCAGCGGAGGGGAGGGGAGGCAGAGGAGAAGGGAGCCGCTGCCGGGGCGGGCAGGGCGCCGGCTTCCAACCGGGGCCGCGCCGGTGCCGCACCGGAGCGTGCGGTGGAAGTTTAGCGGTGCCTTAGAGCATCCTAACTTCGGCGGCGCCCCTGCTTCTGCCTGACTGGGAAAAGGGAGCAGATGGGGAAAAATGCCCTGAAAGTGACCCATAAAAACAAACTCCCCGCAGCCGATACGGGAGGGTCCGCAGCCAGGCTCTGCAGCATGCCTTAAGCCTCGAAGTACGTGAATATCCCAAATGGCAGGAGCCGGTAGATAGCGTAAAGGCTGATAGAGATTGTTTTATCTGTGTTGTGGTGCGGTATGTTTGCGGGTTAAATTGCTGCTCAGTGGCTTCGAGGAAGGTGGAGGAGGGGTTAATGATTGTTTTTCGCCTCCTAGTTGCCATGAGAGGTCCTTAGAATTCCCTGCAATATCGCAGTGCATAGATAAAAACTTATTTATCGCAGGGGATGCAATTTCCTCCTTGGAAGGAGAGGACTGCCATCCTCCCTTGCGAACCTCACGTTATGTGCATAAGCAGGCTGGTTTGTAGCCCTCCTCTGGAGCATCAGGTACGGTCAGGCCACTGAGGAGAGAGCACGGGAGTCGAGGGTTTGGATCAGCATTGCGTTGCTTCTCTGCTCCTGCCCTTGACCGAGCAGTTTCGGTGGCACACGTGCACGCCCACCGCCACCACCGCAAGGGAGGCGAGGGTAGGTGAAACCGTATCCCTGCCGTACCGATTTCAGAACATAGGCTCTTTGACAGAAAAGGCACCCTGGGAGGAAATGTGACACCTTCTAAGGCTTTATGAAATGGTTCCAGTAGAAATTTAAGTGAGTGATAACATAGAGCACATGCACAAAGTCACCCACCATTCTTGACGTGCAGGTGAGGGTGGTGTATGCTTGTTCTGAGAAGCTGGCTTAAATACCAGTTCTGGGAAGCAGAATGGTGCTTCACCTGATATTAATAGGCGAGGCATGATAAATAAGTGAATATCTGGTGTGAAATCCTCTCCCACACACACTGTGCAAGCAGAATTTTCCCATTTGTTTTAAAGAATTTGGAGTTTTTGCTGTTGACTTCTCCTCTTCTGGGTTTTTCTCATCTTTGTTTTTATTTTTTTTCTGGGTGCTGCAGAGCTGTGCACTAACATGAAGGACATAGAAACATAACAAGTAGAGCAAAACAAAAGTAACACTACCAAACGATGCTTGACCTGTTATTTAGTTTTGTTTGTGAGCCATACGAGGAAATGTGTTGGGATTCAAAGTGGACCTCATCAGGTGTAATCCTGCATGGCCTCTACTCCAGAGTTGGGGCAAACAAGTGGCTACCATCCCACTGAGCACCAGAGATGTGGCTTCATCAGGAGCGGCTGTATTGGCTTCAGAGGAGGCGAATGGCTTGAGGTGGGCAAGAATCTGATTCTCTGGATCCTCCTCTAGGCATTGTTGCCCTTGCTGTGCAAAATCATCACCTGTTTCCTCATCCTGTGACATTTTCTACTGTGCAGAGAATAGAGCCAGGATCTGTGGACCAGGGAGACCCCAGTTTAAGATGGGGTCTGCTAGAAATCAGCAGTGCCTGAGCTATGGGTAGATTTTTGCCTAGGGTGGGTATCTCCAGTTGTCTCCAGTCATTTCCTGGCTGTCTGGTACCTGGCATCCTTCAGAACTGGGTAAAGAGAGGTATTTATATACATTAATCTTTATTTTCTAAACAGTGATTACCTCTGTTTTGGTTTTGTTCCTCTTTGCTTTGCTCCTTACTTATTCTTGACAACTTTTTTGCAACTCACGGTGTATTTTTAGCAGCCGCATCGGTAGTTGTCTATGTGGGTGGCTTATGGAATTAATCTGGGTAATATTTGTAAATTGCACCTCGCCACCGGTGCCGCTGCTGGAGCTCAGCACAGGCAGGGACCTGCCTGCACGCTCTGCTTGTCACACGAGGGGCTGGGAAAGCTTGAAAATCTGACCCTGGACTGGTTGTGGATCAGGTCCCATTTAATGTCCAGAACAGGCCAGCCCTGCTGGGTTTTGAATGCATCCTCAGATCTTGTTAAAGCACATAAAACTGGCTCATTACACACAAAACTTGCTCATCAGGGAGGTGGCCCCAGTGAGGCGGAGTAAAGGTCTTTACCCCAAAGTTCATGCAGGGAGATGATAACTCAAAGGCACTTCCTGTTTATGAAATAATAATCAGAACTTAAACCGTGTCAATGCTGGGACCAAAAGCCCAAGTTTTTATTTGCTCAGGATATGGCTACAGCCAGGATAACAGGAAGTCCCCTCCAGTTAAAATTATTGTTCTTATCGTGCTGCTGTGTCTAGCGATTAAGTGAGTTTGAGATGTAATGGGTGAAAAATGCTGTTTTATTTTCAGAAGGGGAAAGAGCACTGCTGGGACCAGGGGCCGGGGTGAGCAGACAAAGAGGCAAGCACAGTTACTTGCCACAGTCATCGGCCCTTGGACTTTGTGCATTGTGTTCCTCTTTATGGCTGTAACAGGTGGGGAAAACCCTGGACTGGGTTTTCGGCTGGACACATCAGCTGGCCTAGAAAATGAAGTAATTTTCATTTTCCCCTCACTCAGTTTCCCCATTTACTCAATGGTTGTTATTTACTGCCCAGTTTCACATGGTGCTTTGAAGCCACTGGATGCGGTTTCATTGAGACTGGGTAAGAGTTGGCTGTGCACGCTGTTCAGGGTAGGTCTTCAGCCAGTGAGGGACAGCCCAGAGACTTCCTTGATGCTTGTGAGGCTTTTGAATGTAGGTCAGCCTTGAGAAGTTAGACTGTGTATTTGTAGGTAGATAATGTACATGGGTGGCTAAATGAATAAGGCTCAGTTTTGGCCACATTACAGCAATGGTGTGTAAAAGCATGTGGATATTTGGTCAGGAGGAAAGTTTGGAAGTCAAATCATGGAAGGATTGGTGACCTGGGCCTGGAGGTAAATCGCTGTCCTGATTGTGGACCTCACCAAGTGGGTCCCAGCTGATGGTGTTAGAGCAATGCTGCCAGATGGTGAGGTCAAGGAGAAGTGCTGTCATCTTCTGCTTGGACCAGGCTAGACACCAGTATGAGGCAGATTAGACAACTTCTTTCAGCTGTAGGAGT